TCACCCCTCTCAGAAGTTTTCCCATCTTTTTGCTTTCTAACATTTAATACTGGTTAATGTGACATTTTCTTAATGTCAAAGTAAAAACACATTGTACAACGCAACGTCAATTCATTGATTTATTAGTATAAAATGTAAATGAGTGATTGCAGAAGTATTTCACTGCTTTAGGACACTCACCTAATTTATCATCTGAGTGCAGTGAATTTCAATTCAATTTATTTATATAGCGCAATTCACAACATGCTCACAATAGCTCTTGACTTAGTGAGGTGAAGACCTTAAGAGTTTAAACAGAGAACCCAACAATCCAAAGCTGCCGTTGGACTCTGAGCAAGCAGTCGGCAACAGTAGGAAGGAACCAAATGAGCCACTGCTTGGATTTGCAGACATAAACAGAAATGTAGGATATCACCAGCTGTGTCCTTAAGTTAAAACAAATATGTTGAATTCATTTTCTGCCTCACAAAACAGAAAGAATCCACAGCATTTTGTTATTTAGGTTAGGATTTTTATTTTAAACTCCTGCAGCTGCCACTAATGTCACAGCAGTGCAAACTCCACGAGTCCAGGACCTTTAACTCCAACCACCCAAGTTCAGTGTCTGACTCATGACAGGATGTGTTGTTCCAAAAAGCAAGTTTAAGCATTTTAACCAAAATGTAATCCACACACGCTCTACTGGAAGGAGAAGGTCAGCTGAGGCTGTGCCAAAGTGGCCGAAGTTTACAAAAAAGAAGAAGTTCACATCATGTTTCACTTCCTCCACCTGCCTTCAGAGGGGTCGCACCAAACTCTTCTGTGTGATGAAATGACACACTTGAAAGCTGGGGTGGACAAGAGGTTAAGCCATGGACAAGATAAACAAACAAACAAAAACCAACAAAACAGATGATATAATATAGATTACTAGTGGTGGTCCAGTAAAACCAGGAAAAACAATTAAATCTGGTAACAACGGTGCCACAAAAAATTAGCTCAAAAAATTGGAAAAAACTGACGATGATTGATTGTAATATAGATATACATACACCGTTGTCCATGAAGTTTGAATAGTTTTTGTTTTCAGACACATTCCTCTTTTAAATCCTATTTATACACATCGGTAATCACTTCTGACCAGGTGCAGTGATCAGTCCCAGTTACCCAACGATGAAACCAATTCTGATTTCTGGATCTGAGTGAAGAGTGGGACGTCCTGCCCACAGACACCATCAACCAGCTGGTGGACAGCATGCCACCATGTCTTAATGCATTGATCTGTGTCAGGGGTGGCCAGACTCAATATCAGTGACATTTGAAAGAGTAAAATTGGACATTCTAATGCATGAAATCCCCTCTCATATGTGTTTCCTGTTGAAGTGACCAAGGTTGAAAAATTTAAACAAAACTCTTAATCCTGGTGTTCAACATCTCTAATTTAGTTTAAGCCTGAAAACACAGTTAAAAAAGTACACTGTGGTTTAATTTTTTTTACTGTGATATGTATTGTATGTATATTGCGATATCAATAAAGCTTTGAGAAAATCTACACTTTATCTATCAGGAATAAATCACATTGTCACAATCATTTCATGAGAAGACGTAAAAAAACAAAAAACAAAAAAAACTTATTCCAACTTTATGGGCAACAGTGTGTATATACATATATATAGAGAGAGTTCATTTGCAAAAACAGATAACTCCATCTTCGCAAACCTTCAGAAAACCCACTCTTCCATCGTCTACCTGAGACAATATCAATCAGTTATCTCTATTTTTGTCATTTCTACTCAGTCAAATCCACTCAACTTCAGTTTGATTGATATTATCTCCAGCAAACAAAAAAATAAACTTTCTGAAAATGTACAAAAATGGAGTGATCTGTTTTTGCACATGAACTCATATATATGTGTGTGTGTATTTAGCAGATTTAGTATAGAAAATCTAAAATTCTGCTGTCACAGATTTTGAAAGAACAAATTATCACCTTTGATTTTTGATGTTGATATTTAGTATAGTTTTGGCCTGTTTTTTTTTTTTTAATTTCTCCAGTCAACATGCAAATTATTATTATTATTTTTTTTTTAATATATAATTTTTTTTTTTCTGGGGAGGGAGTTTCTAGGTGCTATCTGTAATTTAACCAACACTGAAAATCTGTAGAACTATTCAAAAAAATATTCACCACATTTCTTTTTTTTAAAAATTTTTTTACTCTTCTTTCAAAAAACTGCAGATATCTGTAAAATAATATTTTTGCTGATTTAAATACAGCAACAACAATTTTCCGTCATGATCAAACACTGTAAAAGAACAAATTGCCATTTATAAAAACACCTGTTATTTACTTTGTGTTTTTTTTTTTCTTTCCATTTTTTAAAATGTATTTCTAGTTGATATGCAAATGGGAATGGACTCCACTTGTACAGAACCTTTCTACCGTAGTGGTACTCAAAGCGCTTTACAGTTTCTCATTCACACATTCACACACCAGCAGAGCTTCCATGTAAGGGGCTGCCTGCTACTGGGAGCAACTTCAGGTTCAGGCTCTTCACCACGGACACTTTTGCGTGCCGAGTGGCGGAGGATTGAACTGCCAAGAATC